CTCCGACGGTGGATTTTGCCAATCCCCTCCAATGATGAAAGGAGCCTGTATGTTGTCAAGGAAGCTGAACAGGGTGGCCAAGATCTCAGCGTTGATGGCTGATTGCAAAATTTCTCCAGTCCGCTGAATGACGGCTGTGTGCATATCATCTCGTCGAAGGCCTATGGCCATCCACCCATCGTCGAAGGCCTATGGCCATCCACCCATTGCCTTCTTTGGTGTAGCGCTGGAGGGAATGTGATGATGAGGCGGGCGGAGGCGCAAAAACCCTCCAGTGGTTCCACCTTTGCCAGTTTCTTCGGCCGCCACCCCATGAGCTTTCCATCCCCTCACTATGAAGTACTGGAGAGCTTCGTTCATCTTCTTCTCATTGAGGTGGGTTTCTTGAAGGAACCAAATGCGATCAGCTTTGGACCAAACCCAATCCAAAGGAGGTGACATTGGCGAAGCAATCTGAATGTCTTCATAGTGAGTCTTTTGCTTCTTGGTGGGAGGAGGAGGCTCTTCCGAGATGTGGTCTTCCTCCATTTCATCGGTGGGATCATGCGCCAACCACAGTTGCAGCACTTCACGTTCCTGCTGATCTGTCAACTCTCGGGTCGGTTGAGGCAATTGGTCGTCGTCAACCAACCAATAAGTGTTGTCAATCGCATGGACTGCCACGAGGTGACCATTGTCGTGAGAGGTGCCTTGATGAAGGACCATAGCCACAATGCGGTAGCGGGCTTTGGCAACGACAATCCCATCATTGGAGTAAGGGATGATGACATTTGCGGGCACTTCCAAGGGTCTGTGATGTTTTGTCCACTGTTGTTCATGGAGTTTGAAGCGCTGAAGATGAAGAACCAGGCAGTCGGGCTTTCCATAAAGAAATTGGCCTTGTTCATCATCAGACCATTGATTGATGAGAGTCTCAAGCGTGGCCTTGTGTTCTTCAGGAGGGAAGATGACATAGATGGGAACCTGTCCACGTTCTTCCAGAATGCCATTGCTTCGAATGTGAAAGAACTTGCTGCCAATGCTTTGAGGTTTGGCACGGGCCACCCGCAAAATCACCAACGTCAGCTTGTTGTGTCTGATCAAATTGGGACCAGACACCAGCCAGTTCAGGAATGTCAGTCAGTAGGGTAGACTGAGAGGTGGACAGGAAGGTCCGGAAGGCCTTGTGGAGCTTCCCCCATACCATTTAAGGCTCAGTGACGAAGCTGCGGAGCCAGCTCCAACAGGGAAAGGCCAGATTGGTGAAGCAGAGATTGCTGGAGTTGCAGATTCTGCGCAATCAAGGCTGTGTTCCCCTGGATGCGCGGTTGATCTCCTTGCAAACCCAATTGCTGATGTACCAAGTGTTCAAGCCGTTGGAGGTCAGTGAGAAGTTGCTGACCTCTGTCATTGTTCGGCTGATAGAAGTAAGCCGTGCAAGAATTCATGAGATCTTGATGACTGATCTCAAAAAGATGAAGTTGCGCCTCAGTGAGATTTCGAGGCTCGTCGTCATCGAAGATTTCTATGTTATGTATGCGCTTGCCAGCGCTTGGGTTTGAGAGGTCCCGTTTTCGTGAGAGTTCCGTGGAACCTGCTCTGAGGTAGAAGAACACGGTGCCTCTGTCCCCTGCGCCACAGGGCTCAAAATTGCTGGAACTTGCCAGTCTCGGACTTGAGCCGAGATGAGCATCAACCCGATTGTCATGAACCCCACAATCAAGTTGAGTCAAACCCACAGCAACCTGCACTGGGTGTGTCAATTTGCTGATCCCCATACTTTTGCAAGAGCTCGTTTGAGTGCCTCCACAAGAGGAGGTGACGTGGTTACCCACACGACGGTGGTGGTTCAACAGCATCTGTCTTGCGGCGTTTGGCCTCTTCAGTGATTTCATGCTGCGGCCTCTTTAACATGACTTGTAGCTGGGTCTGCTGTTCAGGTGTGAGACTGACACCCAAAGTGCGGACAAAACCAGCCACGGCTTCTGGAACCGGGTCAGTCATGATTGCATCAGGCTGAAGCGGAGCCAGAGGGACAGCAGCATTGACCATGGCCATGTAACAATGTAAGAAGCACTGGTCTGGTTGAGTGTTGTCTGCTCTTGCTCGATCCTCGATTGGATGCTCTTCATCTCATCCATGAGTTCTTGAAAAGCTCGTTTCGTGGAGTCGGTCTTGTTCTGAAGGGCATGCTTCTTATGAGAGAGATCCTTCAAAGCAAAGACCTGTTGCTTCTTGCGTCCTGCAACTTCTCGCTCTGACTCGGGGTTGGCAACTTGGAGAGGTTCTCCCTGAGGACATCCTTCAGATCAGGCTCAGCTGCCTTGATCTCAGGCGAGATGCCCAGTTCAGTGAGCTTGCTCTTGAGTTGGTCATCCAAGGTGTCCCAAGCTGGAGCCAAAGCTTCTGAGGCGGACTTCTGGAGCTGAGATGGCTTCGGTGATCTCACCCTGCCGAGACCTGGTGGTGGAGAAGGGCGTTGGTTGCGAGCCTTAGGCCATCTGGATGGTGCCTTAGCTTGTGGCTTCCTCAAGGCAAAGCCATGTTGAGGTCGTGGCCATTCATGCCCACACTTCCGGCATGTGTAGCCCTGCTGGATCTTGTCGCACCAAATCCAGTTGTAGCAGCCTGACCTCTGGCAACATTGGTAAGCCCGTTGCATCGACCAATCCATGAGGTTGTCGAAGTCAAAGATCCCGGACGTGCCACCGTCCGTCTCTTCAGGGGCTTCGTGCTCGATCTCGCGAAGTGCTCTGTGGGAGTGGGTGGAAACCTGCGAGCCTCGAGCCGAAACTTGAGCCATATACATACATTCTATTTATATCTATTTATACAATGCATACATTACACATACAATTACATACAGTTACATACAGCTACAAACAGTTACATAAAGTTGCATATAATCACACGCAATTACATACATACATTCATCTTTACATAACATAGCATAACAAGATAACATAACGTACATACATACATGCGTGCATAAGTGTCCACGGCATCTTCGGACCCATAGACTTCAGCCTACTGGAGCTGATTGACAAGCGTCTCCCTGACCTCTTTATAGTGGTTTACTCTCGCTATCCATAGTCCTTTCATCCTTCACCTTGACATTATTATGTCACAAAGATGTCCTTGGTCTTGGCTGCCTTGCATGAATTTTCCCATGGCTCACTGTTTTGACAAATGTGAGCATTGCTTAACTGATCCTTGTCTTGCAGTGAGCATCGTCTCACTTCTTTTGGTCATGAAGTTCCTGTAGGTCTCGTTCTCCTTCACCCCGTTGTAGTTCCTCCTCGGGGGGCCTCTTTGTGCTTCTCATCGAGTTTGTCTCTATCAAGTAATCTCGCCCACCACCACTGAACTGTTCCAGAAGGCGTGCTCCCCACTTCGTCTCAGGCACATTCGTGGGAAGAGCCATCAAGTACAGTTGGCCATTCACTTGCATCCTCTCCACTAAAGACCTCGAGGCTCTCGCAGTTCCCTTCTCTGTCTGTAGACATCATCCCGCACCACCTCTTCTCCGTTGCCCCTCATTGGTGACAGCAGATTATACTACCACTGACAGATTCAAAACTCCATCGGCTCGGTCTTTTGATCTCCGACTGAAGGGGGGCTTGCACTGATATTCAATGGATCTTCTTACGCAATGATGTATTCACTCATTGTACATAGGCTAGCGTTGTCTACATCACTGCACAGGCAGCGCGCATCATGTGATTCCATTAGACAAAATGACGATTCTAGGCCAAGCCTTCACAGCAGAATCGTCCCATGACAAAGCCGCAAAGGCCCCATCCATGGCCTGACAAAGCTGGTTCGGAAACAATCGAGTGCTTTGAGTGAATGGCAAGCAAGTCAAAATATTGATGGTTCAACTGCGACCCAAACAGCAAAGAGTTGTATAGATATAGAGTAGCACGCATGATAGACAATGTAGACCTAGATGTGTTGAGGAGTTTGAGAGCAATATTTGAGCCATGAACAAGGGGTTGTCCGAGCTGCCTTTGTCTCACTCCACTCTGCCGCAGTCTCATAGGCAGCCAACATCCTTGGGCAATCACCCAAGACAGTTGTTGAGAACAAAAAACACATAGATAACTCACAGCAATCATTAATTGCAACCAACATCGCAAATATGCGCATGTTTGACTGTATGACTGAGAAATTTGCTTAAGGTCGGAGACCAAACCCTGAACTGCCTTTGGGTCTTGCCCCAACATTGATCCAACCTTCGCAGGATCGGCAAAATGTAGTGAACGCCACCATCAGCCTATACACACCTGCCTGAGTGGCCATCTGGGCCATCTACCTGATTCTTGGGTTGTTTGATGTTTGCGTAAAGTAAAACAAAACAAAGCACAAAAAGCAGCACAAGCAAGCGCATAAGCATGACTACAAGCAATAAGCAGTTAACCAGCAACTTCAATCTGAGACGCTGGCGTTGACACGACGCTGCCCGTCAACTTCTGTATTTTGAGCTTGAGCCGCAAGCAATGCTTATTGAATTTGGCCACCGAATTTGGCCACACGCACAAACACAACAACATACAACAACACTCGAACAAGGCAATCATACAACACAATAACTACATATAACTACTCAAACCATGACGGGCAATCTAAAAGCAGTCTAACTCTAACAGTAAAACATTCCTCTGAAACCTGAAGCCTGACTTTGATCTGAACTTGAATCTGGTCTGAGTCCAAGGCTGACAGCCGTATGCGCATTGCAAAGTTGGCCATGATGAAACGCTTTCTCTGTTTACAAAATCCCCTCACACCTATTTTTGCATATGTTTTTGTACATGTTGGCACGATACGGGTACCGTATTCGTCGCACAACTGTCCGTCAAATCAACCTGCACTGTCGACAAAGCAGCTCAAGTCTGTATAGCAATATGTCATTGGGACATTGCTGGCTTGCTGTTGTGGCCGAGCCAATAAATCGGCAGCAGCCGTGCAAGGTTGAGGAAAACATACCTGCCATGCCTGCACCTGCTGCGTGTGAAACGCGCCTTTGCGAGCCTCTCTAAAACGATTGAGGCATCGAGCCGCGAGTCCATAGTAGGCATCACACCTGCGGATGTGACAAACAAGCTGGCACACTTCCACTTTATATAGATGTTGTTTGTCTATTTGCTTTGTCATTCAGAGATTCAGTGAACACTACTACTTGTTCAATCGTGCACAGTGTCACGCTCTGGGTGGCCAAAAGTGTAGGGCCTTTGCGTGGACAACTGGCGGAAAAGTCACAGTGTAATCACTAACATTATCCCGGCAAGAGACCCCAAACAGTGTAGAGTGTATATCAACCGAACTTTGGTGTCAAGGGATGCGCGCAGGGGAGGTGGAAGTAGAGAGAGTAGCACCCGCGAGCACGATGTAGAGTAGGAGGAAGGAGAAAGTAAAAGTGCAGGTCGGAAATGTCAAATAGAAATCCAGCATCCTGCATGCGCACCTCTTTTTCTGGGCATGGCGCGCGGGACGAAACTGTGTCGCGGAACCGCAGACAGAGCACACACACGATGGCAGGACAACGTCGATATAGAAACTCTGATTCCTTTCTGTCTCGCGTCGCTGTGTGGAAGAGGTAGGAGGTGAAACGAGGACCTATAGAGCCAGACAGGCATCGTCGCGGACGCCAAGCCAGAGTGTCGCGTATCCGCCGACGTGCGGGTGCGTCACGTATCCGCGGATGTGAGTCAAGCAGGAAGGGTGTCACTCAGAGTGTCGCATATATCCGCGGCGGGCGTGCGAGTGCGTCGCGGAGCCGCGGACGTGTCACTCAAGCAGGAAGGGTGTCACTCAGATGTTGGAGAGCGCGCTTCCAGTTGTATAGTCCGTAGGTCGCCACGGACATAGCCAGGTGCTTATGTCCGAACCAACGATACCAGAACACACGATGCACTTTGCGCAGCTGTGCAGGGGTGAGGTTGTCCCCCTCGTCTTGCTGGTGTATAGCTGTTACCCTGGTTACCCCTGAGGGTTTTGA